CGCTGTAGGCTGCACCGCTATTGTTGCTTATTTAAGGCTTCCGTGAAGTACACGTCGAATACTTCAAAAGGTATCCAGTTTATCTAGGAGGGTTTGGTAAGGTTGTTGAAAATGATGGAACGGTTTTATCAGCGAGAAAAGATGGCAAAGAGAAGCCTATACCTGTTTAGTGATGTTTAGTATAAATTGAAAGGGATTGAAAAATGCTTCACTGCCACAGTCGACCACTGTACTGCCTATGATTTGATCCCGCTTATTCATCAGCTCATTCTTCCTGAAACTGTTGTAGCGTTCAATAAGTTAGTTGTTTATAATACCGTAGAAAACTGCCCAAAAGGTATCAGCATCTGACGTAGTCCACTTCACATTAAAAATTTTGTTGATCCTGTACCGCGTGCTTCCATGAACACCATCGAGCTTCTTCGGCAAAAGTTTAAGTACGAGCATGAAAAGCGGTCTGATGCCCAGTAGAATCTCTTAGACAATTACAAGACTCAATTTATGTGGCAAGAGCTGTTTGAAAGAGATTTGCTTCAAGACCTGTGGTCTCAATTTGCTAAAATATACAAAGTGTAACTAAAATAATTTTGGTCTTCTCAGAAGTATTTGGGCTGTCAGTTTAGCGAGATCTACTTTTTGGAAATTTCACTGCAAAAAAGTTGATTTTTGTTGTTCCTGTAGTCATTAAGCATTCGTAAACGACCACAGCTACCATTTATTCTCTTCTCTACTCTATTTCTTCTTTCTTGCTTAACTGCGAACATCTTGCCTCATTGTCTTGAACACCGCCAAATTTCTAGTGGAGGTACGTTTGTAGAACGCTCCTTAGACACAGGAAGAACTCAACTGCAAAGTCTGCCTTGATGGCAGTGCCTTGTAGCGAGCTCTACCTTTCTGAAGCGCGAGAGGAAAAATGGGGCCATCAGCAAACTTCTCAAAAAACTATTGAGAGCTTCTGAGCAACAGTAGCATTCAATGTTAAATCAGTTGGTAGGTTACGTTTATCATTCACTCCTAAGACCTCGGTTTATTTTTTCTTCCAGGTTGATTAAAACTTAAACCTTCATTCAGGTGTAGTTTTACAATTCAGCTATCCAACACCAAATTGCGCGCTAGAGGATTGGTACTGGAACACTTTTTCGTAGTACGTTTTTAGTAAACACAAACATCCGATTTGCGAGACAGGAGGGTCTATCTAAAAATTGAGTTTTTTTGAAAAGCCTGTAATCAGGATTTTGCAGACCTGTAGCGCCATTGCTGCGATTGTCTTTATGGGGGAAACAACCTGTGTAAGCAGAAGCAAATCCTCTTACTAGAGTTTACTTAGGCGAATTCCTGAGCCGTATTTGGCTCTGTGTTGAAAATGCACGGCGCACTCTCTTTCTAAAGGCAAGAACTTGAAAAACAGGAGGAGATCGAAGTACAGCAGTGCAGCTCTTTTTCTAGAATAACCTTTCTGCGTTGCAAAAAAGACTTTTGTTTTTACAAACCATAAAGTCTTGAAAGTAGCTTGAAGGGGAGTGTGTAAAATTCTGCAGTTTGACGTGTAATGACCTTTTCGTTTCTTGAAAGCGGTTTTTATGTGGTGCTTCTCAAAGGTGAGGAACGGATAAACATTTTAAAATTAAAAAGCTGATAGAGCAGTAGGAGAAGTTCCAGTTAATAAATGCTTTTTTATTCGTAGACTAATAGTTTATACAGTTTATAAATATTTAATTTCTCAAGTTTATTCTATTTAAATTAAGCTTTATAGTTAAATCTCGTAGTATTTCGCCCTAGAAATATGGTACGGATTTTAATTGCGCGCATTATATCATCTTATCTTACTAAGCTCGTCATGCTAAAGCGAACGAGATCAAACAATTCGGACAACTAGAAATGTAGTGAATAGCAAAAAAACAGCTTTCTGTAGAATACTAATAGCTCTGTTTATTCGTCTACTATATGTAAAGAGTTCAGAAAAAAATTGTACGTCGTTTAAATTGAATTTCATTTTAGAGTTCGTACTGGCCTGCACTACCGTATGTTGTTATGTGCGCAATGGCGCTTGTAGACTTGACTGCTTTCATGTGCGTGATAACTGAAAGTAAAGGTAAGCCACTGGTGGATCACTTGCCAACGAAGGAGAAAAAGAAGAGGACTGTTCGAAAGCTTTGATTTGTGTTGTTTCAGAGGCAGGAATTTTACCTAATCAAACTTCTTTTGTTAACAAAGAGTTTGGAAACAATGTAAAATAAGAACTATAAGTAGAATAGCCCTACCGGCAAAAAAAAAAAAAACAATACGACATACTGCTTTATTGGGCACATTCATTACTCCTTCAATGGAGTCGCAAAACCCGATATATGAATTACATTCGTATAAATTTGAAAAACTTCTAGAAACTGAATATACAGTCATCAGTCTAAAATTTTAAAACGATTTTCACAAATACGTTTTAAGAGATCGTGATTAAGCAATTTGAATTTGGGCACACTTTCTTGTTTAGAGCACAAATTTTTTGAACGTTGTTATTTTCAGCTATCTTCAGCTTCTACAAAAATATACTTTACCAAATTCGCTTATCAGACTTCTAACTCTCGTCAAGTCTGATTTTTCAGTACGTGATCAGATAAATCTCTATCAACTTCAAAAAGATTTTCTGTAAATAACCTTTATTTTAAAAAACGATATGGATAAATATAAGTTTCCGAGTAGTACAAAAACGTTTAGTTCACCAATCCGAGAGGAATTCAGAGTTTAAGGTATGAATTTGCAGAGCAATGAATTTTGTTGGGAGAAGTAAAATCTAATAAAAAACATTCTTTACCTTTTTCAGGTAAAAAGTTAGCATAAAACAAAAGGCAAAAAGCAGAAGTAGAGACTACAAAGGTATCACCACTTTTTATTAGCAAAAACGGCTTAACAGTATTTTTTCTTGGAGTTTCAAGCTTTTTAAAGTTCTATTGAATTCAGTCAGTAATTTTCAATAGATTTTTTCTGTTTATTTTTTTGGTAAAGGAGCATTTGTTTTGAAACATTGATTGTGTTCCGTTCCGAGTAAATCATGTTTCGGTGGTACTCAAAAGTACACGTCTTTGCTCGAACGGTTTTTGTCGGTTGCTGAGTAGAAATTTAATAAACCTTATCCAGTTATGTTTGAAGCAGTGATAATTATCTATGTAATAAAGAATATATTTTGTTTAGATAAATAGGGAAATACAACAAAATAGTTTTCATTTTAAATTTTTGTCTTTGTTAACGATGCCTTCGAGAGAATAAATATATCTGTTGTATTAAATATACAACTACTTTTCTAGTTCTTTACAACTGATAATCTTCATCTAAGCCTGATGCAGTTTTATACCTTTAGATCAAAAAAAGTAATCTAATTAAAAGGTTAAAATACGAAAACTACATTATCAGTTTTGTTTCAACAGTTTCGTTAACAGTTTCGTTCTCATAACTTCTTATGAGAACTGAAAATTAAGAAGCACAACAGTAACACCCAACTACTACTTATTTTTGTAACTGCCAAAATTTTTCAACTTTACTAGCATGGCATTGTTAAAAAAAATCGTTCAGGCGAAAAGAAAACCATTTTTAAAAAGTATAAAATATGTGTCACTAAAAAGTAAGGAAATTTGAAAAGTTTTTTATGACTATGCTTTGCAAAATATACTTCAAAAACTTCGTTTGTTCGTTCATCTAACATACTTGTTTGCTTTTACCTATTACGTTATTCGAAACTACTGCATGTTCATTAATCAATGCTGTTTCCTCTCAATTACTTTTATACAAAGGGATTTTTTTGCTTCATATTTTATGGATTTTTTTTACTTTAAATTTTAAGCAAACTGAGTTGTTACCTCACAACTCACTGGTGATCAACATCAATTTTCTCTGTTTGCCTTCGTGATTTAGAATTCTTTCAGTTTGAACCTGACAACAATTTTCGCTCAAATTGACTAAGGGATAAAATCAAGCAATTTAGCATAGAGTACCTCCAGTTAGTCACTAACAAATAATTTCACTACGTAACCCTGTCATGTTAGTGAAAATATCTGCATACTCTATAAAACAAACAGTTTTTGGAAGCAAATAAGGTTTTCTTTAATGAATATTTATCGTTTATAGAAAAACGACAACAAATAACTTCTAATAACAAAAATTAACGTTTCTTCTTTAATCATGAATGTTTTTTGAGAAGAAAAATTGACAATTAAAATTTTGAGCAAAATTTGTTCTATTTACATGATTTCTGCGAAAGAACCTTTAAATTAATCATTCAACGATCAAACAGACTCAACCGTGCCAGAAAAAAACCACAATCAAAATCATTGCTTACTTTATTGAATTTAGATTGTATACATTGCTGATTTGCTTTCTGTGCGAGCTGAATATCTTAGTTCAAGTATGCATCACACTCTTCACGGTCCATGCAAATGGGCATAATATATTTGCCATGTACTTTGAAAACCAATAATTTAACTGCTTTAAAATTTGGTGAGCATTTAGTCACTAGCTTATATGCTTTAAAACTTCAAAGTCTTTTATAATTTGAAAAATCTAGGTTTTCTGATCAGCGTTTACCAATGCAAAAGTAAAGTGGTAAGAAAGTTGCACGAGCTTTACCAGATATTACCAGTTGCGGAAATATCAATTTTAATGGAACTGACGGGTGTGATGGCTTAGTCAAACTAAGTGAGGAAACAGGATGCATGCTAAAACTTGAGTTCCAGCTTTATTCCGTCAGTGTTGAAGTATGCTTTCGAACGTCGCGAAATTCTTACGTTCATCAGTGTGCCTTGCGAAAGTCACATTACACCGAAGGGTTTTTCTAAACTATTACAGAAATGTGAACGAATTGTAATAACAAAGTTAAATAATGAGAAAATCTATGAGATATCATACTTGTTGAGGAATCGTTCGTGTCAAGTGTTTCTAGTACGACCGTTTTTGCGAGGATACAGCAGACGTAAAAAACAGTATATCGCTTCAAATGTTTGGCCTTTTGATTGGTGCATCTATTTTTAGCCAAATTAGCGATGCTATCAGGAGGAAGCAAGTAATAACACTTTACTTTTTATTGATAAATGTAAAAGATGTTCAGATATTTGTGCGCGAGAACCAATAAATACAGTCCACATTAGCATAAGAATTTTAGTCGATGATCTTTTGTTTTATTAGTTTGATCGTATTTGGTTAAGTAACTGCAACTGCGCGTACAGTGACGATGTCCACCACATGGCGATTTATTGTAGGTATTTTTGTAGCGGTCATTTCGCGTAAGTGTTCTTACAATCCTGTCAGTTTTCTAAAATTATCTCGTTTTTTTTTTTTTTTAATTTAGTTTTAAAAACCAATACTTTAAAACATGAGTCATCAGGGTTTTGAAAGCTGTTGCAACATTTTAGATAAGTAAAGCAGCGGAATAATCGTTTTCAAATAAAGCGCAATAGAGACAATTTAGAGACGATTTCACCGTCAATATAAAAAATTAATATTTTCAAAGTGAAAACAAATTAGAGCAAGAAATTTTGAACCGTCTTCTTAGAAATTTTTGTGAAGAAATTCCATGGATGTGAAAAAGCAAAACTGTTTCGGGTTTTGCACGTTCAATTGTTGAAACAAATATCTCGTGAACATAGTTTTTGGATAGCTAAACTAATTAGCTGGTTCCCAAAATTTGCCTGAAAATACCAGTGGTCATCTACTAAGTAAACCGAATTCATTTGCGGTAATGCAACAAAAGGAAAAACACGTGGAAAAATTAAGTTGCACAGTTAAAAAAGAAGCACGGAGTATGAAGCAAATGCAATTGCATAGTCAACAGAACTGTTAAAGTTGGAAAGAGTAAAAAAAAGAAAAACAATAGAATGTTTGCATTAAGCAAACAAAAATCTTCTGAATGCACTTCGAAAAAAACAAATCGCGCAATTAGGCAGATAAATTAAAATTATCAAGCTTACTTACAATGACCGATTCTGCGCCTTTTTTCTCGTTCATCTAGAACATCTTCGTTTAAGGTAACTCCTCAAACACGAGAAGTTGCAAAGCAGAGTCACTTCGCAACAGCATTGTTAGAAGATTACAGTCCTCTAGTTCAGGTTTCTTTTTTTTCTAGAATTTGAATAATCCTCTTCTTTCTTTATTCATTTTGTAATGACTACAAAATTACTATAAACTTATATTTTAATGCTTTTCTTTTTTTTCTTTACTAGAAAATACCACACATTTACTTTTGCTTGGAGAAACCCCTTCGCATATCTTCCCAGCAATAAGCGTATTTACCTACAGCAAATGATGATCCGTAAAAGTCCACCAGATCTTATATAAAAAAATAAACATTTAACAGTAGTATCATAACAGTCAAGTTAAATTTTACAAGGTTCAAATTAGTCTTGCTCTCAGAAACAATGCTGATAATTATAAATTATTCGAACAGTGCAGTGATTATTTGATTAGCAAAGGTGTACGAGACCTGAAAACTTTAGACTGCCAAACGGAAAAACGCCGAATTGTATTTTTGCGATTCAAAATACAGCCGAAAAAAGTTGCTCTTTATGATTTTTCCAAATAAAGTCGGTATATGTAAAAAACAAAAAAAAAAAGTTGGAAGTCAGAAAGCGTCACAGCATTAATTTTTGTAGACGGCTTAGTAATATGTTTATTTACAACTTATCACTTAAACCAAATCAATAATTTTTACCAAATTTGGAGTTTTTTTGCAGAAAAATGTGTCCCGAAACAGATTAGTCAGTTTTATTATTTCCATTTCAATTACATTTTCATTTATCCGTTTAAAACTGCCTATTTTTTACTAGTTCTCTTTCAAAAATTCAATAAACATTCAATTTTTTTGAACGTTGTATAGGCAGATGTAAATTATCTTTTGGTAGTTCTTGAATAAGTGAAGAAATCAAATAGAACCACTTTGGTTCAAAATTTTATCGTTTTCAGTAGTATGGTCAAGCTTAAAAAAAGTTAATGACGTCGTGCATTTGTTATACAGAAAGTTTCTTTTAGTTAATCAAAAATTTTAATTTACTTTTTTTATTCATTAACCCTTCTTGACGTGTGAATAAAGTGTTAAGAAAAGATAAGACAGACGAGAAAAGCCTACAAAAAAAAGCTGAAATCTTATTGGCACGTAAGAAACCAACGATAACAGAAAACAAAAAACTTTTCTGTTTTTTTTTCACTCATTATTTGTTCTTCTTTTTTCTTTTCACAATCTTAAGTTCTACGCTATAGAAATAAAAACTGCCACATCCATCTAACACATCCAAATGACGTTCAAAGCAGCTCATCTCATTAGGTGTTTGCTAAGTGAAAGTATTAAACTGTTGCAGTTTGCAGATGCACTGATGGTAAATCTAGAGTCTGGGTGAACACAGCTGACTTTATTTTACCGAGAAGTCTTTCTCAGATTTTTGAGATTTGGAGGTGTTACCACTTAACTGATTAAAACATTCTAAATTTTATCAACGTTATCTGTAAACAACTAACATCTTAATGATAAGCTTTGTATAAGGTTAAGTAAAAGAGGAATCATTATCAGTCAGTCTCAGAGCCGTAAGCAATTTCCCACTTTATCTAAGCGACAGCTGCCAGTTATTTACTGAGTACTATTGTATGCTTAATTTCATCTTGAAATCTGACACCTAGAAAGAACTTATACTCAACATACCTAGAAACTTTTGCTACTTTAACGTTCTTCACTAACACTAATGGTTCAGATGAATAATTTATAATAGCAGCAATTGAATCACACCTTTTCAGCAACACTTTGAAATTTTTAGAAAAAAAGCAAAAACTTAATTTCATCCTTATAACCCCACTTCACTTCTATCGGTTAAACAGCCTTTAATTCGCTGTAACAACGCGTCACCGATATTTTATCAACAATTACTCAAGTAAATAGTTCCAAGAAAATTGAAGGACTTTATAGCGGCAGCTTCTGCTTAATTAATTTCTTCTGCCCATCGGTTTTCATGTATAATAAGCTGATTAGCAGCATCATTTTGCCTTAAAATTGTTACTGTTTAGAATAAAAAAATGCTGTAATTTTGATGTTATATAACTAAATTAGTTGGTATTGTTTGCTCTAGAATTTTGAAAAGTACACAGTGATCTTTAATTTAGCATTTCCGTCTGTCGTTTTCACTAAAAATTGGCATACCCACAACTTTTTTTATTTATCTGTTGACCTTCCCTTCCCAAAACAAGTTTTAAGAAATAACAAACAGCGAGACAGGCAATACTGAAAATAATCTGCAGGAAATTGTATTTACAAATCCGTAAACTTTTCTAGGTCTATTAAAAAATCACTTTCTGTGTGTTATAGATACCTATCAAACCAAAAGTTAAACCACATATTACGTTACAACTCCTTCTCAGTGAGGATTAATCCTTACATTTAAAAACAGCTATAAAATACCTTTTAATTTTATTTACTTTATCAATCTCATTTTCATACACCTGCCTACTGAAGATTTTTTTAAAGATTATTACACGTAAGAGACTGATAACTACCTGATCTTCATCTGCTTACAAACTGTTCCTGTCCAATCAAAGTGGGAGTTTAAATTTCTTTTACAAGACATTATAAATTGAACGATATATAGCCTTAAACCTCATTTTTGCTGGGATTCATTATTAGCTATCATTACATTGGTAACAGTTGCAAGATAAAACGACCTGAACCTTTTACCATTCCTGCTCTTGTTCCTTTAAAAATGACACTTGTAACCATCGGTTCTTTATTTGAACGAGATTCCTTAACAGTTTAATTCTTTTTTAATCGTTTTGAGAATACAAAAAGAATAAATCAACTCATCTGATGTTTATTCATATAACTCCTTTTTTAACGCTATGCCTTACAATAAGCTATTATGTCCTTCCATTTGACGTTAGTAATTTTCTATAAGAACACGTAATTAATTCCTGAATAATCTGACCATTTTCAAGTAATTAAAAAACTTATAAAAATGCAGACGGTTACCCTCTCCGCAGGTCGAGGTAGTACAGCTGCAGTTTTTCAAGTGAAAAACTAAAGTTTCCCAACATATATTTGTTTTTACAACCAACTACATCTTATAAGCTCAAAATGATCTACAAACTTACACGCAGTTTATCGACTTTTCTGCAGTAAAAATCCCCTGCAGATTTTTAATAATGAAGTAATTACAGTCAAATGTAGCAAGTGTCGGAGCTTTTTTAGCACTAGAATCCCCAACCACAGCTGCAAGTTTTATAGATGTCAAAATTAACACTTTTCTCCCGCCAATTTCATTATTTTCTAAAAGTTTCAACAATATTCAGATGGCAAGTCATCATTGATAATGTTATCTCAACTCGGCTTCAGCAGAGCACGGAGTGACTGGTAGAACGTATGAGTTCAATAAAAGATGTAACAACCCCGGATCTTCATAACTATGTATCCTCGGTAATATAAGCTGAAGCGAACCTGGCAAAAGAGAAAAAGGGGTTTGCAGACAATAAGTGCTTAAATCCTCGTAGAATATTTTTTGGCATCTAGCCTGCTGGTTTGCTTTAAATGTTCAGCTTTTTTAAAATAAAGTATCTTCAGTAACTCAAAGCTTAGCGTAATTGCCTCATATTTACCCTTTTCTGTGTAAATAAGAGTCAAATCTTCACTTTTTGTTTTCTGGAAGACTTCAGCGATACTTCCTGTTAAATCCTGTAGATGAAATTTTTTTTGTTTGTCCAATATTGGAATTTACTTCTCAGCAAATTATTCTTCCACTATCTATTTTTTTATTTTTTTGCGAGGTCAGAAATGGATAATGAATATGAAAAGTGTGACTTTATTCTTCACTCATCTTTTATAAGTCTATTTACAATCTGATAATGTAATGCAGGTATCTGTGACTGCTGCTTGAAAACAGTTTCACACATCTCAAAAGGGCAGAGCAAAGTGACCAACTGGACCGTTTACACCAGAATTGGGAGGCACAGCTAAATACACTTTAAACAATAGTTGCTCTCATCATTAGTTACTTCTTAGTAGCTGAAGTTGTTTACTTGTTCTAACGTTAGTACTGTAAAAATCACATTATCTTAGAGCATTCAGAAATTGTTGTCAAAAGCATATCAAAACACTAGAAAAAACCAAAAAAAACTTTTTTCACAAAACTTCAACATTTTAGTGCACTTTGAGCTTTTTATTCATTCATTTCTTCATTCTCTTGGATTTATCAAGCCGACAGATTTTAGGTGACCAGCATTTTCGCTTGTTGTTCACCTTCTTAAAAACAGCTTTTCAATTTTTATTTTTCACTTTTTCTTATTTCTCACTTCGCTACATAAACTGAATTGTTGTTTTACGACTCAGACCTTTAAAATCAGCTTCATTTAGTACCATTTATGAATATTGGCCAAAAGGTTTATTTTTTTTTACGTTAGAAGTATGTTTCTTTTTTCTTTAGAGTTTAGGAAATCATTTTTGATTTATCTTGATATACTCAGAGGATAAGTCACCTATAAGAACATTTTGCCAGCTGGTTGCTAGTGAACGACTATTTGAGATAAATGAATGCAAAATTTTAATGCCAATTTTGCAAATAATGCCATTTTATTAATTTTCTGACATAATTGAGAAATTTTTTATTGTTGGGTGAAAATAAGCAAATTTTTAGGAATAAACATTAAAAAATTTCTCAACCTTAAAACTTTCTCAAACAGTGATTTATAGCTACCAAATTTTTCAATAAGGCCCGTTACATATCTTTAATTTTTTTCTTATTTGGAGGCTAAGTATGCAAGTTTTTGTTACGTTATTAAATTTCAATGTCTAAGAGTTCTGCTGTATTAAATTATTTGATTTCTAGGATTGGCTGCTCTTTCTGCATTCAATTTGTCATATGGATTCTGCGAAGGAACCACTTAATTCGTCAAAAAATCAACTTCAGGAGAAAATTTCGAATCTTCCGGAAAAACCGGCAGTAAAAACTATTGACGATTTCATCGAGTTGGGTTTGTACACACTACTGATATGCTTTACATGCGAATTGAATATCTTAGTTCAAGTATGTACCATGATGTACATGGTTCATGCAGGTAGTCATGTCGTTTTCTACTCGATAATTAGTTAAAGTTGCTTTTGGTCAAAACTTTACCACTAATGATTTCTTGAGATTCTAAACAAGCTCGCTCAAAAGGTATAAATGGATTAGACCATCTGAGCGGTGTTGATGAATATAAAAGCGGAGTGGTAACAACTCTACAGGTGCTTCACCAGTTATTACCGGTTGCGGAGACGTCGATTTTAATGGAACTGACTGGTGTGATGGTTTAGCTGAACTACGTAAGGAAACGGGATGCATTCCAAAACTTGAGTACCAATTTTACTCTGTCAATGTTGAAGTATACTTTTCAAACTTAATAAGTTTTAGCGCCTGATTAGTATGCCTTGCAAAATTCACATTACATTGAACGCTTTTATGGAAAACGTATAAAACTGTTAACAAAACGTGATTTCACAAAAAAGGGTAAAAAATTTTGAAAGTTTTTACTGCCGATCAATTGTCAATGTTAAACGTTTCCAGTATGATCGACTTTGTGAGGATTCAGCAGACGTCAAAAACAGTATATCGCTACAAATGATTGGTGTTTTAATTGGAACTGCTATTTTTGGCCAAATTAGCGATGCTGTCGGAAGAAAATTGGTAATAATAATCTATTTTTTACTAAGTAAAGAAGTAAATGTATGGGTGTTTCTGCAAAGCAGTGAATGCAGTAACCATCGGTAAAACAGCTAACATAACAATTTTAGTCGCTGATTTTCTGTTTGATTGGTATGATTATATTTGGTTACGTAACTGCAACTGCGAATACGTTAAGTATCTTTACTTTGTGGCGATTTACTGTGGGTCTTTTTTGTGGTGGTCATCTGGCGTAAGTGTTTTTAACACTCAATCGGTAAAAAATTTGCTTTTTTTTGTCATAATTTCAAAAAAAAAAAATGCCTTAAAGATCATTAATTAAAGTTCAACTATTGAAATTGTTGAAGCCAAGTCGAAGAGTATACGGATCTTGAAATGGTTTAATCTGGAAACGCCAACGCTGATAATTATAAAGTTTTTACCACTTGTTAAAAGTAGCGGGGCAGTGAAGCTAGCCTTTTTTAAGAGAATTCTGCTGGCAGGATTTTCAGGTTAATACATCAAAAACTTTCAGAGTTTTAAACGTTTATATGTTAGAACAAATACCCCGTAAACATAGCTTTTGGATAGCTGGAGTAGTTACTTGGTCACCAAACTTTATTCTCTTAGCTGTTGTTTCGTATTATTCACAAGACTGGAGAACGTATTCTAAGGCCATTGCCTTTTTGGAAATACCAGCGTTGATGTTCTTGCTGTAAGTAGCATATCGGTTCACTTTTACAGACAGTTTGAGCACTTTGGAGAACTGTCGATTTATTTGCTTATTTACTGTGCTATTGACTTGGTCTTTAACTTGTGATCAGAATTTCAGAGTCTCATGCGAAAGTCCTCGTTGGTTTATGAGGAAAAGAAAATTTAGCCAAATGAAGAAAAGTCTTCAATTTATGAGGTATGGGATAAAGAACAGTGAGAATACCGAAGAGGAGCTGAATCGGTTAATTGAGTATGAAAACAAAGTAAAATTTTATTTCGACTTGTCTTGAGCGATCTTACTTACTAATACTGTTTACTGAGTACTGTAACAGCAAAGATAGTTGTCGAAGAAAGATTCGGCAACTGATATTCTGTTTTTCAGAAAATTGAAGTCAGCTCCAAGTCACGGTATTGCATTTTACACCTATTCTACACCAAACAACTGGCTATATACACAGTAACTTTAAGCTATGGATAGTAAGTGTTATTTCAGTATGGACTGATGAAGCACAAAAAGCAATTAATTATAGGCTTTTATAAACATAGATCGGTACTTTATGAGTTAATCCTGTTTCAGCTTCTTCCTTAATGTTATCAATTACGGTCTAATGTTTAATCTTGGTTCTTTATCTGGTTCTATTTACTGGAATGCAGCGTATTATGGTGTGCTCCGATGGAGCTTGAATATTCTAACTGGTCTTATAGATCTTATTTTTAAACAGTGCGGTCGGAAAATTGTTCAACTATTTTCTAATGCCCTGATTATAGTGTCTTTATTGATCATGTTTGGAATCCTTGCATATAGTAAGTTTTCTTATCTCAACTTCTGAGTATTTCTTGCTATTTCAAATAATTACCAAATAGAAGCGTGACAAAGCGGGATGGAACAAATAGATGCCGTAAAAAGTCGTGACTTTTATTCCAGAGGGAATATTAACTCTCAGTTCACTGCTTGCAGACGCTACTGAGCAGATGCACCTTCTACTCCGATTTGATACACTAGGAGCTGCAGCGCTAACTTCACAAAATTATGTTATTAAAAACGTAGTAGTGGTGGAACTTTATCCAACTGCTATAAGGAATACTGCTTACGCATTTACAGGACTAGCTGCTACAATTGGGACAATGCTTGCTTCTCAGATATTCTTACTGGTAAGCGGCAAACCAAAAAATAAGAGTTTTACATGAATAGTAAAGATTATTCCGCTAAAAACACCTAATGTCATCTCTATTTTGAGTATACTGTCGTTAAAGTCAGTGGAAGTTTTCAAGTTTGAAGTTAGGATTGTTTTTAGAGCGGGATTTGGTCGGCGCTACCGTATCTATCGATGGTTACAATGGCTTTTGTAGAATTGCTCGGATTCCAGTTTCTCATTCCGGAGACTAAACATGCTACTATGATGGATCAACTTCCGCGGAGAAGCAAGAAATAAAGAAAACCAGTAGGAATGAGAAAATGGGATGAGTGATGCGGGAACTACTGTCGAAATTAAAAAACGCTAATGGATAAAAGACTTAAACAAGCATTTGCTTTTGCGGTTTAACCTGCAGTTTGAAAAAAAATAAACAATCAGAAAGACATTGTAACTTATTTACTCACTTTTACAGCAGAAAAATTGAGCATCTAGATTTGCGAGATTCTGTGAATATTTTGGCTGCACCATTATTAAAACATGACAAATTGTTACGTCTGTTGCAGTTGCTTTATTTTCATTGCTTTTACCCGATTTTCAAGGTTCGTCTGTTTTCAAAAAAGATCTGACAAAATTGCTCTTTCTAGCCGACTTTTGTAGTTTTAGAAATACAGAATAATAAGTTACCGTAAAAAAAACAATTAGGTGCACCTTGAGAATTTTGGCAGTTCTACCATGCGTTTTAACGGTTAATTGGCAGAAAAAATTCTGTTGAAGCTCAGCTCTCGAACACGCTCTTGCATTATTAAAGTTCTCACTTGTTAAAAAACTTTTTGAGAACGTTTGATTGTCAGTATTGGGTTATCGAATTAATTGTTTTTATAATTCTATAACGTAATCACTTCACGTGACTGTAATCTAATCATTTTTCTGTTTTGGTAAGAAATTATGCCATTTGGCATTAGGCCAGAAACTTCAAAAGCTATTGTCTGCCGTTATTTTCAAATTTGATTAGCATAGGCAAATACTCGATCTGGGAGACAAAAAACACAACTTGAAAGCACGACTTTCCGGTAGTAAGCTCAATTTTATGATGTAAATATATCTCGATGTTTTTTGCCACTAAAACATTTTTCAAGCTACGTAAATTTTTCATTTACTAATCAAACGTAGTAATTTTGAACTTTTTTCAAATCTTTATTTTATAGTTTTAATTTGCTAGTGAAGTAAGGTTTAGTGATAAAGTTAGGATTTGTAAGGAAAGAAACTTTGTCCAGGAGATCTGAAAAAGTGTTTTTTTTTTGTCGCAAAACTTTGTACTTTGCTTGCCAATGTATAAAATAAGAACACTACGAGTAGGTATTTTTGGAGCTGAAAATTGTGAAATGAGGCCAAGTACTGAAGAGATTATAACAGCACATATCCCGACCACGTTCTGCAACTGAGAGGATTTTTTGAATCAAAATATATGTTTCTGAAACTGATGAATTAGACAAGTTCAAAAAATAAGTAGAATTTGCGGAAAGCATTGTAACATTCTGCGTCGTTTTTAAGTATATTTTTAAACGAATAGGAGAAAAGGACCAGTAATACAAAGATTTTGCATGAGAGCTCCTTTTTATTACAAAGCTCAGAGCTTTTTGCACAAAGATAGTTCCTTTTTTTCTCGAAGTAAGTAATCTGTATGTTTCGTTTTGCCCCCTTAAACAGTGCTTTATGTTTTGTCCTTCTAGCGTCTATTTTACACATCTAATTCTAAAACTAAAGAACACCAAGTTTTCAAATGAGCTGATACATAGGAAAAAATTTGTTTTGAGTCTTTATACCTTTTCAAACAATTACCCTCAAACAACAACGCTATTAATAGCATTTTGATAGAAAAGCTATACAGCAAAGGAAAACGCTTGCATTCTGTACGACGTTATGTAAACATCAGTTATGCTTGGAATTTGACTGTCTGCATCAGAAGTAGTTTTTTAAAAAAGCAGCCTGGTGAAACTGAAAAATAGCGAGATTATGCTCAAGAAGATGCGGCAAGAGGTAGCATCAATGGCAGTACGCCGTAAAAGAGCCCATAGGGCTGTGTGATAAACGAGCAGTAAGCAATTAAACAGTCTATCTTAATGAAACTACAACTTCGTTTTTTGAGCATTTACTCTATGTCTTCAATGAATTTGATAAATCTGATAACGCATCTACACGAGTAAACACTAAAAAAACTTTCGAAGTATTGAACACAACTAACAATCTATTATTTTCAAAACTTTACAAAATTATATGCTGAAAAACTGCCAATAGGCAATTTTGCTCTTAAACTGATGATTCTTTTTTGTTGAAGATACCTTTTAATAGTTGCTGCCTTCAGCGTCTGCGAAAGTGTACTTTGGTGAAATGGTATATCAGACTTTCGACTTTTGTTAAGGCCAGTTTTTCAGTATTAAATCAGAGAAAGCTCTATGAACTTCAAAAAGATATTTTATAATTAGCCTTTAGTTCAAAAAATAGTATAAATAATTCTTTGTTTCTGGGTACTGCAACAAAGAAATTTAAATTTTCTACATTCTAGGTCGCACAACACTTAACTTTTTTTTTAGAATATGAAATTTAACAACAGTTTTTTCACTTTTTTTTTTTTTTTAATTGAGAGGCAGCATGTATCAGAAGGTGAAAAACCAAAGTTGAGAGTGTAAAAGTGTCATAATATTTATTAGCATAAGCGGCTCAGTGATATATCCATCCGGTTTTTTCAGTAATTCTGTTGAGTCGAGTCAACAGCTTTCAACACACTTATTCGGTTCATTTTTGTGACTGATTAACATCAGTTTTGAAGCAGTGATCTTGTAAGTTGCGTAAGTTCCAGAATAGGCGAGTTTCAGTGGTTGAACCTGTACAGTTCTGCTTGAGTTGTTTTTGTCAATTTTTTTAAAAAGTTTGATAGATTTAATTCAATTGCTTATATGCAATAACAATTGTCTATTCAAAGAATCTTTTATTTTTTTAGATAAATAAAGAAGTACGGTAAAATTGTTTTCAATTTTATCTTTGTGAATGATACCTTCGACAGAGTAAATACTTTTATTGTATCAAATATACAATCATTTTTTTTTTTGGTTGCTTAACAACTGATAATCTCCATCTTAGCCTACTGCAATTTTATGTTTTCAGACGAAAAATAGTAGTCTAATTGAGAGGTTAAAATACGGAAACTACATTGTCAATTATTTTCTTAACAGTTTCGTTTTCACAACTTTTCATGGAAATTGAAAAATAAGGGAACACAACAGTAACACCCGATTACCATCTTTTTTTGTAACTGTTGAAACTTTTTGATTATGCTAACGTGGCATTGTTGAAAAAAAATCGTTCAAAAGAGAAGAAAATAGTTCTTAACAGGTATTAAAATAGGTATTACCAAAAAGTAGAGAAATTTAGAAACTTTTGCTTATATAGTTCTAATTTTTTAAATACACTTCGAAACTTTAATTTGTTGATTCATCTTAAATTTACATATTTATTTAATTTTTTTTACTTATTACTCTATCTGAAACTACTGCAATTTCACTGATTTCTATTGTTTCTCTTGATTAAAAGCGATTTTTTGCTTTTTATTTTATGGTTTATTTTTTACTTTAGACTTTCTGGTAACCTCAGCCGTTGTCTTACAGCTTGTAAGCTTTATAATCAAAACCAGCTTCCTCTGTTTCTCATCGCAGTTCAGACTTTTTCTAACTTCAACCAAACAAAAATTTTTAGCTTATTTCAACTGAGAAATAAAATAATGAGCTTTAGTACAGACTTTCACCAGTTAGTCGCCGATGAAAGTTTGCATGACTTAACTCTGTCACATCAGTGTTACTGCTAATTATCCAATTGCTATATGAAAATGACCTACTTTCTGAAAAGATTAAGCCAGTTTCTGTCAAATATTTATTGTTTGTTAAATAATAGCAGTCAAAAAATTTTTAAAAGTAAAGTTAAGAACTTTCTATTTGTTTTTATGCGCTTTTTAAACGGTAAAAGTAGAAATTAAATTTTTTAGTAAAATTGTTTTGATTTATGTCTGCTGACAAGCTGTATAATTACAATTTCTATAACACTTATTTGGAACTACTGTATCTAAGTTTAAAAAAAATGAGCAACTTTGTTTTCAAAGTTAAAAAAGCTTTTTATTGGCTTTTTCACTCTTTTAAACTTACGTTTTTAGAGATTTACTGCATGAGTACTGTGGAAGAAGCTTTAAACCACTCAAGCAACGACCAAACAGACTCGAGCTCTCCAGAAAAGCCAAAAGTTAAAAGCATTGATGACTTCATTGAAATTAGCTTGTATACACTGCTGATATGCGTCACGTGCGAGTTGAATATTTCACTTCAAGTATGTACCATGATGCTCATGGTTCATGCAGGTAGATATACTATTTTACATTTGATGCTTACTTCCAAAGTTAGTTTTGATTAGAATTTAATCAGAAATTAGAATACTTGAAAAATTCTGTGTGCCACTTTTATCATTTGAAAAATTAAAATTTTCTGATCGGCGCTGCTCATTGTAAAAGCAGAATGGTAAGAAAGTTGCAGGAGCTTCACCAGTTATTACCGGTTGCGAAAACATCGATTTTATTGGAACTGACGAATGCGATAGCTTAGCTGAACTACGTAAAAAAACAGGATGCATGCCAAAACTTAAATACCAGTTTTATTCCCTGAATATTAAAGTACTTTTTCAACAATTGTTGAACTTCTGGGTCTACTTGTTAGACCAAAAAGTAGTTTTGCCACAAAAAATTTTGCACAACCCTTAAAGACATATCAGGAGATTCTAATAACAAAAATAAAATTAAGTAATTTAAAAATTACCTAATAGTTGTCGCTTTTATACGTTTTAGTACGACCGTCTTTGCGAGGATACAGCAGACGTAAAAAACAGTATATCGCTTCAAATGTTTGGCCTTTTGATTGGTGCATCTATTTTTAGCCAAATTAGCGATGCTATCGGAAGAAAACCAGTAATAATATTTTATGGTTTATTAAGCGAAATAAAAGATTTCTAGATATTTGCGCATGAGAGCCAATAAACACAGTTCACATTAGCATAAGAATTTTAGTCAATTATCTTTTGTTTGATTGGTATGATCATATTTGGTTACGTAACTGTAACTGCACAAAGACAATGTTTACTGCATGGCGATGTATTGTGGGCTTCTTTTGTGGCGGCCATACTGCGTAAGTCTTTTTAACATTATGTTGATCTATAGAAAATCGCACTTTTTTACTTTTGCTCAGTTGTAAAAACCAATACGTTGAAGCATTGATTATTAATACTTAAAAAGCTGTTCTAACTTTTAGAACAAAACAGTGGAGCACCTGTCATCAAATAGGGCACAAAAGAGCTAATTCAAAAACAGTGACGTTGTTGTCAACAGAAATTTCAAAAAAAAAAAACATAATATAATACCAAATTTTAAAACCCTCTCATAGCAAATTTTATAAATGAATTTTCCAAAGGTAGAAAGCAAAGGTTTCAGGGTCTTGTATGTCTACATGTTGGAACAAGTACCTCGTAAGCATAGCTTTTGGATAGCTGGAGTAGTTACCTGGTCACCAAACTACATTCTCTTGGCCATTATTCCTTATTACTCTTATGACTGGAGAACCTACTCTAAGGTGATTGTCTGTATAGAGATACCAGCATTGATCTTCTTGCTGTAAGTAGAACTTTGTTCACTTTTTTGGACAACTTTGAACTTCTTAGAAAATTGTCTATTTTCTTGTACCACTTATTGTGCCACCACTTTAATGCTGAACTTGCGATAAAAATTCCAGAGTTTCATGCGAAAGCCCCAGATGGTTTTTGCAGAAAGGAAGATTTAGTCAAGTAAAAAAAAGTGTACGCTTTATGAGGTGTGGAATAAAGAACAATAGAAATACTGAAGTGGAACTGGATGAGTTAATTGAGTGCGAAAGTGAAGTATAGTTTTTTTCAGATTCGTTCTCAGTGACCTTACAGATGCTGTTTTTTGAATGCTGTGGTAAAAAAGATAGTTGCCGCACACTGATAATGTAATTTCAAAAAACTGAAGGCGATTCCAAGCCACAGTACTGCATTAGTACTACTACCTATTCTACAGTACTACTACCTATTCTACACCAAGCGATTGGCTATATACACCGTGACTTTAAGCTATAAATAGTAAGTAAATTATTAGGTCATGAAAGAGATAAGTACAGGTAAGTGTAGCTGAGGCTTGAACAAGTTAATATGAGTTTAGCTTCCTGCTCAGTACTGTCAACTACGAACTCCTGTTCAATTTTGATTCTTTATCTGATTCTATTTATTGGGACACAGCATTTTTTGGTATAATTCGATGAAGCTTTAACATTGCAGCTGGTGTCCTAGATCTTACTTTTAAATGCCTTGATCAAAAACCAATACAGTTTTTTTCTAATGCAGTGATTAATCTATCGTTAATCATTACTTTAACTATTTACGCTTTTGGTAGGTTTCTTCATTTTAATTTTTAATCAGTTTTTTTATTTAAAATAAAGAGGAAGTGCAAATGTTTGGTGTACCGAAATCAATTTTAAGTAGAAAGAATAATTTAAAAATTTTCATCTGTAAACAGGAGTGAACACATTGCCGGTTCCTTACAGAAGCCACTGAACAAATGCACTTCCTCCTTCGACTTAGAACTCTGGGAGCGACAGCGCTCATTTCACAAGGCTATATCATCAGAAATTTGGTAGTGGTGGAGCTCTATCCAGCTGCTGTAAGGAATACTGGTTTTTCATTTGCGGGGTTGATTGGTAAACTTAGGTCGATGGTTGCTCCTCAAATATTCTTAATAGTAAGCTGTTGATTACATGACAGTCATATTTTAGCAGTAACGATCTTTCGCTGTAAACGATTAACTCGTTTTCTATTTCAAGTAGTGACTGTAGTTGAAATTAATGAAAATTTTTAAGTCTGAAATAGCAATTGTTTTTAGAGTCGAATTTGGCCAGCACTATCACACCTGTTGATGATTGTAATGGCCTTCGTAGGACTCTTTGAATTTCAGTTCCTCATTCCAGAAACCAAACATGCTACTATAACAGATCATCTTCCAAGAAAAGATATAAAGTGAAGAAATTTAGTAGAAATATATGGGTGGGTAGAACTGTGCAAGAACCGTTAATAAGAAAAAAAAGCTAATGATGAAGAAATTTTAAAAAATTTCGGGCAGCAGTACTATTGCTGCTCACAAAGTATTCAGTTCTTTAGCGTAAGCGGTGATCTAAAGAAATAAATGACGTAACAACGAATGTAACCTCAGATTCGCACCAAAAATTTTGCCACCAAAAGTTCAGCACTCCCCAGTTTTTGCATATGCTGTAGGTACACCATCACCAAATGTGGAACTGCGCTTCCTGGAAAGCATTTCAACTGCAGAATTACGGAGTACTTCGACGTCGTAAAAACCGAAATTTAACTTAAAAAATTCCAGCAGTCTTATGCAGTGTTCAATAATCGAACAGTTGAAAAACTTGTAAAAATTCTGTGAGAGCTCCGTTTTGAAAAGCCATCTTCTGCATTTTTAAACTTCCTGGAGACCTATGAGAATGAAGACCTCTCGTCGTTAGATTATCTATCAGACTGCTTTTACAACTAAATATTTTTTTGTAATCTCAATCTATTTATTCTTCCAGTTGAAAAAGAGTTCATCCCCGATTAAGATGTGACTTTTTAGTTGAGCCGTTCAGCATAAATCGCACACTGGAGAGAAACTTTCTTCTAAATTGATTAATTGATTGATTCATTCAAAATTATCTTCTACATTATATTCAAGCAACCAATCAAACAAGTGGAAGGCTTCAATTAAGTACTTGATTCTCCTAACAGTAAATACTATTTATGTTATGGAATTACTGCAGATTTTTACTCTGTCAAAGCACAACTTCAGGAATGTCGATTTCTTCAAGTGAACTACACCGGTAAATGTTGAGGAACATTTTCAAATTAGTGAACGTATAGCTATTATTCTGCCACTCTTTAAAAGTTTTCAAAATTATACGCTAAGCAGCTGGTGATAAGTAATTTAGCTTTCAAACAGACGGTACTACTCTGTTAAAAGTATTTTTCAAAAGTTGGTGCCGGGTGTCCACGAAAATATACTTTAGCGAACTTGAATAACGAATTTTAGATTTGTATTAAGTCTGGTTTTTGAAAGAAACGTCAGGTAAAGTTTCAAAAATTTTAAAAAAGCAAAAAAGCTAAGTGAAATAAATAATTATTTGTTTCTGAGTGCTGCAGCAAACGGTTCAATTAACAAATCCAGTGGAAAATGAAAGCTTTCAAAGGTTGAACCGCAAAACGTTGTAACCCGTTTTTGGAATATAAAATCTAGTAAGAAAATATTTTTTTACTTTCTTTTTTTTTTAGGAAACAGACAGCATGTTCACGAAGCTGAGAGTACAAACGTATCGAAAGATTCAATGTCTCATGGCAGCTTAGTATTAAGTTCATTTGTGATTTCAAATCTTTCCATAGTCTAGTTTTTTAGAAATTAATTAGGTTTATTTTCGTGCCAAGAGAATTTTTATTTTAAAAAACAGACCCATTAACTTTAATATTTAAGCTTCAACCGCAGTGGTATATAAACGTGTATAGTTCTGCCTGAATCATTTTTATCGTTTTTGTCAAACTGTTAAATTGCTTTTGAAGTGGCAATAATTATCAATTATTTGACGAGTTTAGATAAGCAAAGAACTTTTCATCATTACACATTTCGTCATTATCGGTGCCACCATCAAAGGAGCAAGTGTATTTATCGTATTAAGTATCCGGTCACTTTTTGCTTAGTTAATGTTTTGCTTTTTAAATTGTTCCACTTTTATGATTAAAGACGGAAAAAACGTTCTAAATGACAAACTGAAGATAACACTTATATTATCAACTCAACCTTCGTGCCACTTTTATTTTTGGCTTTTTCATTTAAAACTTAAAAAAAGCGAGAAATAAGAAGTAAAAAAATTAAAAATTTACAGAAAAAATTTCAGCTATCCACTGCCGTGTAGTATTACTATTCTTAAAAAA